AGTAGCCAGGTTACACATGGCTTCCACATGCTTTTTTGGCCACTTGTGTACTGCTGGGGCATGGGCTGAAGTACTTTCCAAGGGTATGGAAATGTTTTTGCTGTGAGGAATAAGTCTCAACCGCCTTGATTTCGCATTCATCTGCACGCGGAACTGAAGGAATTGTACTTCTTTATCTTCCACCTCACTGAACCTCACAATTTCTTCACATTGTAGCTTGAAAAACCCTGCTTTGTTCTTGAGCTTCTGGAACCATGTGAGGAACTTCTCGTAAGAGCTCGCCAAAATGAGGATATCGTCCCTATACCTGAGTAGCAGATCAATACCAACACTTTCCAGGGTATCCTTCTCCACCATTCCTTTTTCTGCTTTGAAGTAGAACGCTGAATCAGCAATACCCGCGCTTTGTGGTAAGGCCGCTACCTTCGATGACTTGGTACATCAAGTTTGCTGCTTCACTCCTGACAAACTGTGAGCCCAAGAGTACCTCGACGACCTCCTGCATGACCACTTTCTTTGGGTTTTCATCCTCATCAAACGCTTTCAAGGCCTCCTCCGCTAGTTCACGCAGTCCCCCACAAACGAAGAACTCTCTGATGTCAATGCGCACTAGCCTGTGGTTAGTGTCCAACCTGACCCCCAGTTGTTTGACACGTCTCGAGACCTCAACCGCCGACTGGACAAGGTGCTGCAATTCCGATAATTTGCGCATCAGCTGTCTTTGAAGCCACACGCCCAACCCTTTGAACGCATAGCCAGAAGAACAGTGTAGATTGCGGACTGAAACTTCTCCTTGTGGCTTAGTGGTTTTGACCGTGACAAACAATCTCGAAGATAACCTCGCACCTGGGAGACGAGTAGTTTTCCGCAGTTGCGCGGCTAAGGCATCATCGTTTTCAAGTTTTTGCACACTCTTAACGGCCTTGAGGTAGCTTTTGTACCACATGTCCATAACATATCTGTCATCTGCCACATGCTCGTACATAGACTTCTCGAAGACTTTCTGATGGATTTCAGCCTCCTCGTGTTTCTGGACCAACACAAACGATCCAGTTTTGTCTGTTGGCAGCGCCTTCCAGTTGGAGTCACGTAATAACCTCAATCCCCATCTTATCAACGGAGTAACATTTGACCACCTTCTTTTTATCCATGTTGCTTTCTTGATTGCTTGCCTGGCATCCTGGACCAAACACTTCCGTAGCCTATCCAGCCAACACTGTAAACCTCCATCGACTGTTTCCATACAAGGTGTACGGCTTTTGGAGGTAATGGACGGCTTTGTAGACTGCGAGTGTCTGAAAACCCATCTCCACTTCACGCGATCGCTGAAACTTTTGATCTCCCCCTCAAAGTTCTGAATAGACGGCATCTTTCTGGAAGCCCAAATGTGTTTCTTGTTGTACCTTGACAAAATCCACACAATAGGCCATGGAACTCCGTGCATTGCCACCGGTTGGATTTCACACAAGTCTGGAACATAAACTGCTACCTTCTCCTCCAAGAGGTCGTAGTTTTTGATCCACCACCAATCTTGCGCTGAAGCACCCTCCATCAATTCCATGAACCTCTTGCTTCTTTGCTGCTGTTGCCTCTGTACCACATCTGCCTTCTTCCATAATTCCATCCGAAGCTTCTTCTTCCGTAGCCTCCTGCTTGGAACTGATTCGTCATGGAGTTGTACCCCTTGCCTGTTCCTATGGGAGCTCCTTGTTGACTGTGTTGGTGGTGTCGATGCCGCTGGGGTTTGTGGTCTTTCCTGTCCTTGCTTCCTCCTTTCATTCCTTTGGGATGTTCTCCTTTTCCTTTGTTCTTGCCTTTGTATGTGGAGGTTTTGCTCCAATGCCCTTTGCCTCCACTCCAAAGGGCACCTCCGTTTTTTTGCAAGGCCTCACACATACGGTCCACTTTACCATCCTGTCCTTGTTGATGCTCCTGGTGCTGCTCATCCGGTTCCTCGCCTTGCATTTCCTGGTCCTCTTCCTCGTTTTCCTTCTTTATCTCATTCACTTTCGCAGCAACCATCTGGTTCACCACGTCCCGCATGAGAGTTGCTGTATGGTTATCCTTCAACTCATTCATCACTTTCTCCTTGTCCTTCTTTTGCTTTTCCTCCTTTTCCTTCATCTTCTGCTCCTCTTTACGGACCTCTTCTATCATCTTTCCATATTCCATGTCCTGCACAACCTTAATTGCGTCATCAATGTTCTTTGTGTTCACCGGGTCGTCCAAGTCCAGCTTATCAACCTCAGTAGCATCTTTGATTGCTGCAGCGCACTCCTCAAAAATCCTCTCTCGTTTGTTCCTTAGCTTTTCTTTTTCAACCTTTTCTTTCATCGCCTCAAGATTGATTCGCTTGGACTCCTTCGTGAAAGCATGGTGCATAGTCGCCAAGGCTTCTTTCCTCGTTGATCCTTGCGGGACTTCGATTTGGAAGACATACTTTTCGCGGATAGCTTCACCCAGTGACTCATCCAGCTCTACCATGTCTGATTGGCATTTAAACGGTCTCGTGCCTGCGGGGTATCGTCCTACTGCTTGCATGGTGTCCATGTCTGTTTGTGCAGCCTCAAGTCTTTTTTGTGCCCTCAAGTTCCTCTGTATGCGATCGCCTGCTCTTCGCATTGTTTTGTGGATGATGCTTTTGATCTCAGCTGGAACCTGTGCAGCTGTTCTTGCTGGGGCTTCACATGCAGCTTTCGCCACGACCTGCACTAATGCATCATGGACTTGTGGATTTGCAGCGGGGGTTGGGATAGCCGCAGCATGAGGAATCTGCTCAGTGTCAATGCTTGTCCTGCTTTGTGGCTGGTTGGTCAAAGCTTGTACTTGGCACATAACACATGTGAGTGCTTCAAGTGTTTTTGATTGTGCGGCTTGCATGTTCTGCATCTGCTGTAGCATTGCAACCATCAATGAGCTTTGTTCATCTTCCTTCTTATGGTGCTTTGTTATGTCCTGGTCACTCTCCTCACTTTTCCTCTTTGGTTCTTGGGACTCAATAGAGTTCACGACTGCAGAGAAATTCGGGAGGCTTTCAAGCCCTCCTCCATTCCCTTTCCCACTGTTGGCCGCAGGTGCTGAGTTGAAAGGGTAGGCACTCGCACTACTGGGATTGGCAGCATT